GGTGCCTGTGCCTGCCGCAGCCGTGCGGGAGAAGCATCAGACTCGAGCTTGGTTTTTATTATCGGCTACTTAATAGCTCATAGTCAAGGAGAATGAACGTGCCTGCAGGAGGGGTGAGCCCCTCTTCTGGAGGGAGCACAGCGTGGAAGGGCCTTGTGCGCTGGCCTGTCCCTCAGGTGACCTCTCGCAGTGACCGCTGGTGCTGACCTTGGTGGCTCTACGCTCCTCTGGAACTCAATAGATCCAAAACGGGAAGGCTCTGAGGCCAAATGTAGCAGCCTGGCATCAGATGACCAGGGATTTTTGGGCCCAGCCTTGACTTCTGCACGTTACTTGTGGGCAGGCCATGAAGACACATTCGTGTAAGGAAGTGACTCAGGAGCAGGGCTGCAAGAGTGGCCTCTTCATCGGCTCCCCCTTTTCAGTGCTGCTGCCCAGGGAGGGTTCCTCACCGCCAGGGATTAATCCCTAGGTAGACGTGGCTGGATCTTGCCAGTATAATATTTTTCAAATAAGAGCAAACAACTGATTCAAAGTGGTTAAAGATTCAGTGTTCTCCTTGGTTCCTATTCACATTAAAACTGCAATTGGTGTGTTACAATGGAACCCCAAGCTAAGCTGGGAATAACTTTGAGCTATTTCTGAGACCAGTATAGTCGTCTGCAGACCTTGGCTTAGTGTCTGTTTTTAATGCTATTACTCTTGTAACATTAATATGCCTTATACATGAAAACTTCATGATTATCAGTATATTCTATTATTACAAAATACTGTTGCAGTTTTAAAAAAATCAACTTATAATGGCAGTATTATATTTTTAACTTGAAGTTATGTTGCAGAACAGGAAGTTCAAGCCTTGCTATAGTAGCAAGTCCCTGAAAAGCAGGAGGAAGCTTCACGTCTCCTAGAGCGAATGGAGCATTTGCCCTTTGCCTTTCAGGAAGAGCACTGACGGCTTTACATCGGTAAAATGACTCGCCTTGGTGCAGCACCACCAAGTTCAGAAGTACTTTTGAGTTTATAGCAGCCAAGAGGAGTTAAGAGCTACCTCTGTAGGTTTGTGTATAGTTTTTAAGAGCTCTTGAATGGCTTCGCTTGGTATGGATTGATAGTCAGATTTGGAAATTGGCATTTGAGGACAGTCGTTTTGAAGTAGCATGGGGTTTGTTTCAGTGTGACTGCGTTCATCGCACAGTATGGCATTTGTGAGGCAGGGCAGAACCCAGGCTTTCACAAAGCGCTGATTGTTAGGGAAGGAAGTGAATGAAAACCTTGGGAATAGCCATGTCTGGGATTCCCCAGGGAACCAGTGACGGGCACTTAAAACAGCAGTCTCAATGGAATGATTTGACTCAAAAGGCTGTTTGCTTTCTACTTTTGATTTTGCTTTTAAGGTACGACAGGATTTATTCTATTTGGTCTTACCAAGGTAGAAGTCAACTGCGTATGTATTTTTATGGAAAAAAGAAAAGTGTATTGTCAGGAGCTTGGTACATGCGCAGTCTTCTAGATGAAAAGCCGAGTGCCTTTCACAAGGCAACCTGTGCTGTACACAGAAAGAGATTCAAAGAATAACTCTGGTTCTTAATAAGGAATAAATAATGATCTGGTCCTGCTGTGCAATAACCCAGGTAGCATAAAATCCTCAGGCTTCAAAGGGATTCTGCACTGGTACAAGTCATTCTGCCTATATAGGTTCACTTACAAGAAGAGTGCAATTGTGAGGAGGCAGAGGTTGAAAATGGTGGGCCTTTATATATGTAATGGATTGGAATGTCCTCAAAGAGTTTCTGCTGCCACCTCCTCTCACTGAGTCCCACCAGGTCTTCTGCAGGGCTTTCACTGCACATTTGTGCAAGAATGTAAAATTCATTTTTACTTTTTTTTTTGTACTTTCTGCAGAAGAATAAAGCAATATTCCTTTATACATATTTTCTACGCTTACTGAATTCTCAAAATATAGCTAATATTATTCTCTTCTGCATTCTCTTCTGGAGAATGTGGCTAGGGATATAGTGATACTGGTATTTCCCGAGACTGTATCCATCCCATATTCTGTAGTACGTTCCTACCCGTCCCGCCTTGCTTTAAGGGAGACCTGCACATGTTTAGCAACCTAAACCAGGAGTCCAGTTACGTTTAAACACTTTCTCTTAGCCAGCACATTAATTTGGTCCCCGAGTCAAGTGAAGCTGTAACTTCAGCCTGGTTGTCCTGACCCTGGTCCAGGAGCCTCGTGCTGCCTCCCTCCTGTACAGGGAAACATGGATAAAAACCCAACAGCTCTGCTTGCTTTTCCAGTGAAAGCACCTGTCTCTGCCCACTGGCTTTGGCTGGATTTGGAGCTCCAGTTCGGCCTGTGTCTTTCCTTATATCCTTTCACCTTCATGCACAAGCTATAGTTGTCACACAGGTATTGCCACAAGGTAGGTGAGATAGTTTGTGCATTTGTCCATGTTTTTCCTGGGGTGGCTGCTGCACTTTGTGTTGCTTGTGCTGGACATGATGATCCTCTTACCACTGTAGAGGTGGAAACTGGTGAGCAAATGGAGGAAAGTGGGGGGAAAGAAAGAGATGTTTGTGAGCCGCTGCGGCTTTCCAGCAGGGAGGGTGGTGTGGAGCCAGCTGAGGATAGTGCCCAACCTGGTTACAGCTGTCTTGGAGGGCTGCTATTGCCAAGGGTGGGCAAGTTTTTTCCTTTTTTCTTTTTTTTCTTTTTTTTTTGCTTCCTCTTAGTGCAGAGTGGTGCATTTTGCAGATGGGAGAGGTGAGTGTTTTTTGATCCAGGAATAAAGACTATTTTGGGAAAAGATATTTCTTTATCTATAAAGGGGATTATTTCCACAGCAGGTAGGGAAGTTCCTTCTCTCTGTGCACTTTAGCTCGGTTGCCAGATACAGTATTCACATTTGGCATCATTCCCGTGTTTCCTTTTATTGATATTATGTAATTCAAAGGGCGAAAAATGACCTTAATCTAAATTGCCCTTTATTTGGATATTGTGTAACCCTTCTGCGTTGTTGATGGTTTTAACAGTCTGCTCCAGTTTCTAATCCTGTCTCCAAATCAAATCACAGGAACTGCTGCTTTGTGTGCAAAAAGGAAAAAAAAAAACCACAGCATTCTCAAGCTTTTATCACTGCAGTATCTTTCCACCTGGTATAAGCAGTTACCATCTCTATATCTATGAAGCTGGAGCACTCATTAACATCTCAATTTTTTCAACTATTGGTGGAAACAAAAAATAAAGAATGCTATGCTCAAAACACAACCTGCTTCTGAATCTTTATATCTTGCTGTCATCTCCACTGGAAATGTTATGCAGCAAGAAGACGGGGAGAACCGACTGTTCTTGGCCATTCATGCACAGCGGTGTCTTTAAGATTTAAACGTGCCCTTGGGACTAGCATGCTAATGGTATTTCACAAAAAAAAGTGCTGAAGCAGCATGAACAGGTTTGACAGAAGTAGCCTCTGCAGAGGGCTCTGCAGAGGGCAGAAGTCTCCGTGGCTTCACGTAGCTCTGGAGGGCAAATGTGCTGGAGGTGCTGGGTGGCCCCTCTCTTTCCTCGCGGGGGAAGGAGGCTGGAGGACTTTGAAGGTGGACAGTCACAAGCTGTGGCTTGGAAAGCCCACCAGGAGGGAGAGCTCCCGGCAGCTGCCAACGGCTCTGTGAGGTGCAGCTCTGTGAGGAGAGCTGCAGAGACCATGTGCGTGGCCAGGGCTCCGCAGAGGGTGCAGGGACCGGGGAGCCCAGGCCCTCGAGCGGCTGCAGGACCCCAGTGCTAACCCAACCTTCCCTCCAAGGCGCCCGTCCCCTGCGTGAAGCCTTCACGTGGTGCTGGCCTCTTCCAAACACATGGTTATTTTTTGATTCTGTGATTCACTGGCAACCGCTCTGGCTCCACGTTCCCTTTTTTCCTCTTGATTACCAACCCCTGTTGGAGAGTGCTGATCCTCCCTTAAATATAGTCATAAATATATGGAGAAATGCAGGGGAAAGAAAATGAAAGTAAAGACCACTTTTTAACCATGATTTTTGTTACAGCAGAATCACCTTTCCTTCCATTTCTTATCT